AGCCCAGGAGGCAGAGGTTGCAGTGAGCTGAGATTGCACCACTGCCCTCCAGCTTGGGTGACAGCAAGACCAGTCTCAAAATAAATAAATATATAAATAATAACAAAGTATACAGAAGGGGACAGACATGGTGGCTGATGCCTGTAATCTGTCTTTTGGGAGGCCAAGGCAGAAGGGAGGATTGCTTGAGGCCAGGAGTTTGAGACCAGCATGGGCAACAAAGCAAGACCTTTTAAATTTTGTAATTTAAAATAAAATTTATTTATTTATTTGTAAATAAAATTTTTTTTAATTAGCAGGGCATGGTAGCACATGCCTGTAGTCCCAGCTACTCTAGAGGCTGAGGTAGATCACTTGAGCCCTGGAAGTCAAGGCTGCAGTGACCCTGATCATGCCACTGCACTCCAGCCTGGATGATAGAGCAAGACCCTATCTCAAAAAAAACACTTTTCTAATGAAAAAAAAAGTATACAGGAGGCTGTATACAGGTTATATGTAAACACTGCCATTTTCTACCAGGGACATGAGCATCTCAGATTTTAGCATTACAGGGGTCCAGAAACCAATCCCCCTGGGATATCAAGGACAACTGCATATATTCCCTACTGGCACATATATAATGCACGTAAGTGCACATCGAAAGGCCTGGAAGGATTTACACCCAGTGAAGAGTGGCTACCTCTGGGGAAAAGGGAGAAGGGAGTGGCCTAGGATTGGCTGGGATGGGGGTAGGGGATCAAAGAAAACTTAGTTTCTTGGGAATGTTTGTATTTTTCACAAGGAGAATATGTTTATGATTATTTCGTGGAATTTAAAGATAAATATAAAATAATACATACGGTTGGGCACGGTGGCTCATGCCTGTAATCCCAGCTACTTGGGAGGCTGAGGCAGGAGAATCGCCTAAACCTGGGAGGCAGAGGTTGCAGTGAGCTGAGATACCACCATTGCTCTCCAGCCTGGATGACAAGAGTGAAACTCTGTCTCCAAAAAAAAAAGAAAAAAAAAAGAAATGAGAAAGCAAAAACCACACATACTTTTGGGGGAAGAGCACTCCAGAGACTGAAGCAGCATTTGCAAAGGTCCTGAGCAGGGAATATGCCTTGGATGTTGGTGAAAAAGCAAAGAGATCCATGTGTGTAGGGCAGAGACAGCCAGTGAGAGAGGGAGGGAGATGAAATCAGAGATGAGCATGTGGGTAGACCACATAGATGCTTTAGGTCACGGTAAAGAGTTTGGATTTTGTTCTGAGTGAGTGATCATGTAATAATTCTGGCTAGTGTATGGGAAATTGACTCAGTGGACATTGAGGAACAGAGGGCAGAAGAGACAAAGGAGATCCATTAGGCCGATGATCAGCCTCTTCTGATTGCTTCTCTTTTTTTCAGCAAAATAATGAGCAAGGTCATCAGCTGAGAAGGAGGGGATGGGGGCAGAGGGCATTGGAGGTTGGAGGAGAGAGGCTTTGTGAAAGAGCTGGCCAGGAGAGTTGGTGACTGAGTTGACCATGGAACTATATTACAATTGCCAGGCTGCACTGAGGACCCACCTATGGTTTGAGAATCCCAATGAAAACAGTCAGCAAGGACGAGTGGAATTTTCTACAGTACAGTCCCCAAATCATTCCCATCTTTCTAACCTTTGATTCAGGGCTTCATCATGGCTCCCTAGACTCTTTTACAGTCTCTCACCTGCTTATGTCCACACTTCCCTTTTGATCTAGTTTAGATTCCATGATCTGTCATTAAAATCACCACACCTGCGGCCAACCACAACTCCCTCGCCCTACCACAACTCCCTCGCCCTTCTCCATGACCACTGTAAGCACGTGGCACAATCCCAACCCTGGTTCAATCCCACAGCCTTACTACTTACTACCTGTACTCAGCAGCTAAACTAAAGTGCTGGGATTACAGGTGTGAGCCACCGCAATCAGCCAAAGAGTTGGAGTTTTTTTGTTTTGTTTTGTTTTGGGACAGAGTCTCGCTATGTCATCCAGGCTGGAGGGCAATGGCGTGATCTCAGCTCACTGCAACTTCTACCTCCTAGGTTCAAGCGATTCTCTTGCGTCAGCCTCCTGCATAGCTGGGATTACAGGCGTGTGCCACCATACCCAGCTAGCTTTTGTATTTTTAGTAGAGACGGGGTTTCACCATGTTGGCCAGGCTGGTCTTGAACTCTCAACCTCGTGAACCACCCACCTTGACCTCTCAAAGTGCTGGGATTATGGGCACGAGCTACCTACACTCCTGGCCTGTTTTTTTTTTTCAGACAGAGTCTCACTCTGTGGCCCAGGCTGGAGGGCAGTGGTGTGATCTCGGCTCACTGCAACCTTCACCTCCTGGGTTCAAGTGATTCTCCTACCTCAGCCTCCTGCGTAGCTGGAATTACAATCATACGCCACCACACCCAGCTAATGTTTATATTTTTAGTAGAGACGGGTTTCACCATGTTGGCCAGGCTGGTCTCGATCTCCTGACCTCAACTGATCCATCCACCTTGGACTCCCAAAGTGCCGGGATTACAGGCGTGAGCCACTATGCCCGACAGGGTTTTTATTTAATTTTTTTTTTAATTTTTTTTAATTTTTAGTAGAGACAGGGTTTCACCATGATGGCCAGACTGGTCTTGAACTCCTGACCTCAGGCAATCCACCTGCCTCAGCCTCCCAAAGTGCTGGGATTAAAAGGCATGAGCCACTGCTCCAGGCCTTATTTAATGTTTTTAAAGCAAATTGTGAAAGAAAGTGGTCCGCAACATTAATTCATTTGTATTTTTGTTTCGTTTTTTGTTTTTAGATCCAGACCTGCAGAAAGCAACATTAATTTAGTACACTTTTTGGCCCCTACTACATGCATGCACTATTTCTGGGGCTAGTTTGAGGGTCCTAAATATGTAGATGACAAATTTCTAGTCCTTTACTTGGGGAGTCAGGCCCTCACAAAAATTGTGCCCCGGGCCAAGTGTAGTGTCCCGCATTTGTAATCCCAGCACTTTGAGAGGCCAAGGGAGGAGGATCATTTGAGGCCAGGAGTTCAAGGCCAGCCTAGGCAACCTAGTAAGAGCCTCCCCACATCTCTACAAAAAAAAATTTTTTTTAATTAGCTGAGTGTGGTGGTGCATGCCTATAGTCCTAACTACCCAGGAGGGTGAGACAGGAAGATCACCTGAGCCCAGGAAAGTGCCATGAGCTAAGAAAGTGCCATGGCACTGTAGCCTGGGTGACAGAGTGAGACCCTGTCTCAAAAAAAAAAAGTGCCCCAAAGCAGCAGCCACATGAATCCCTCACTGTGAAGTTGACTCTGTCAAATTTCAATGACATTTAAATGAAGATTCCCTGCAACGCCAATTTTTTTTTTTTTAAATGTTTTGTGAGCCAGGCACGCTGGCTCATAATAGTAATTCCAATACTTTGGGAGGCCAAAGTGGGAGGATTGCTTGAAGCTAGGAGTCAACACCAGCCTGGGCAACATAACAAGACCCTGTCTCTAAAAAAAAGAATACAAAAACTAGCTAGGTGTGGTAGTGTGTACCTGTAGTCCTAACCACTCCAGAGGCTGAGGCGGGAGGATTGCTCGAGCCCAGGAGGTTGAGGCTAAAGTGTCAACCAAGACTACATCACTGCATTCCAGCCTGGGCAACAGATACAGATCCTGTTTCTAAATAAAGTAATTAAATTTAATTTAAAATGCTTTGTAACTATCTGTTAACTCCTAGAACAGAAACTGCTGTCTGGACTAAGAACGAATCCACATTCACATCACACTCTGGCGTCACCGACGGAAGAAACTGACAACCAGCACCCCCTCTTTCTCCACCAGTGATATTTACGTGGCACCTTAGGTAAGAGGTTGCAAACTAGAAGCGACTGATGAATCAGGTCTGGGGTATGTGCTACCTGGCCGACATAGCCAGCAGTTAAAACTAACATGAGGGAGCCTTGCAGCAGCAAGAGATTTTTAATTTCATCTTGGCTGTAGAGAGGGACTCACGGGCGCGCGCAGCCACCACATCCCACCCACATCCCCTGCACCAGCAAGGTCCCCCTAAAAAAAAGACTAACTTGAAAACAGTGATCTAACATGAAAATTCAGATAATTCAGAAAATTCAGAGAGTAGAGGAGACGTGAGGAGTGGCTGGCTGGCCCCTTTAGGATGTACTCTCAAGTTAACCTCAGAACCCCAGGGGCAGACCACTTACACCTGGCAGGCCACACACAGGTAAATGTCTGACTTCTACCCAGAGCACCCCATGGTAAGGTGTTGCAGGATAGCTGGCTCCATAGGTCTTCCTCCCGACTCTCTCTTCTCCTCCCAGCGATCCCTAAGGATCATGGCACATAACAAGGTTGAAGAGAATTTTAAGGTAGATTATACACCCTTGAACAATATTTTTTGACCACAAGTGACTGGTTCTAAGAATTCAAAGATCTATAGAAGCCAGTACTTTGAAAGGGATCAGAGCCTCCACATTAAAGAGGCATCTGTTTAGTTCAGTGATTCAGTGACATCAGTGTGTTGCCAAATTGTCTTGCGATGTGGCCACTCCCTTCTAATGAGAACATTTATTTTTGTCTAAATTGAATTAAACTCATCTCTTGATCCAGATGAATTACAGGCCACAGCACATAGAGAACCCAGGAAAGAGATTTTTTGTGTCTATCTGTACTCTTAGAGGAACTACAGATATTTAGGATGGTGCTGGAATCTTGGAGATGGAAAAAATGTTCCATTAAAAAGAAGAGGCCAGGTGTGGTGACTCATGCCTGCAATCCCGGCACTTTGGGAGGCAAAGGCAGGTGGATAACCTGAGGTCCGGAGTTCGAGACCAGCCTGACCAGTGGTGGCATGCAACTGTAGTCTCAGCTACTAGGGAGGTTGAGAGAGAAGAATTGCTTGAACCCGGGAGGCAGAGGTTTCAGTGAGCCAAAATGGCGCCACTGCACTCCAACCTGGGCAATAGAGTGAGACTCCATCTCAAAAATAAATAAATAAGAGTAGTCATTTAAGCAGCTCATATACTAAAACTGGAATGATACAGAGAAGACTGGCATGGCCCCTGCACAAGGATGACACACAAATCTGTGAAGTATTCCATTAAAAATAAATCATTCTACTATAAGGACACATGCACCCGGATGTTCATTGCAGCACTGTTTACAATAGCAAAGACCTGGAACCAACCCAAATGCCCATCGATGATAGACTGGACAGGGAAAATGTGGCACATATACACTGTGGAATATTATGCAGCAATCAAAAATGATGAGTTCGTGTCCTTTGTAGGGACATGGATGAACCTGGAGACCATCATTCTCAGCAAACTGACACAAGAACAGAAAATGAAATACCGCATGTTCATAGGTGGGTGTTGAACAATGAGAACACATGGACACAGGGAGGGGAGCACTACACACTGGGGTCTGTTGGGGGAAATAGGGGAGGGACAGTGGAGGTTGGGGAGTTGGGGAGAGAGAGCATGGGGAGAAATGTCAGATATAGGTGAAGGGGAGGAAGGCAACAAAACACACTGCCACGTGTGTACCTATGCAACTATCTTGCATGTTCTTCACATGTACCCCAAAACCTAAAATGCAATTAAAAAAAGAAAATAAATAAATAAGAAATAAATAAAATTAAATTAAAATTAAAATTAAAAAAAGAAGAAGAAAAATTCTGTTGCAGCGATGGGCCTTGCTAAAAAAGGGGGAAAAAAGAAAGTTCTATACCCTGCAAACCAATGGGCATAACATTCTGCAGACACTATTGCAGAGTGGATTTTAAGGAGGAGAGGGTACTTCTGTGCCCCAAAAACAAAAATGACTCATCACTGTGACCCACCTTGGGTTAACCAAGAGCAAATCACGTCGGCACAGCCCTCACTTCCTTATTCCATGGTTTATTAGTCTAGGAAATCTAAGGAAGGAAATAGGCAAGATAGACAAAGATAATTGGTACAGGGAAAGGCCACGTAAATAAATCTACTTATAAAGGAAGCCAAAATTCCATATTAAATGATGAAGAAAGGTATTTATTGAGACTTTACTCTGGAAGATAAAACTTAAAATAATGTTAAGAAATTTACTTTTTCTTGTATTTTAAAAATGAAAGAAATATTTATTTATTTAACAAGTATTTATTGGCCATCTATTATAAGACAGCCTCCGGCAAGTGAAAATATGACAGTGAACTGAAGAGACAAAGCCTCTACTCTAGTGGAGCTTGAAGTCTAAGGGCAGACAGACAGTGTAACACATCAAAAAGCAAAATAAGCCAGCGTGGTGGCTCACACCTGTAATCCCAACACTTTGGGATCACCTGAGGTCAGGAGTTCGAGACCAGCCTGGCCAACACGACAAAACCCTGTTTCTACTAAAAATACAAAAATTAGCCAGGCCTGATGGTGGGCATCTGTAATCCCACTACTTGGGAGGCTGAGGTGGGAGAATCACTTGAAACCGGGAGGTGGAGTTTGCACTGAGCTGAGATCGAACCACTGCACACCAGCCTGGGAGACAAGAGAGAAACCCTGTCTCAATAAATAAATAAATAAATCATATTATAAAGAGGCTACTATTAAACCACTTTTATAAACCTAAACTCTTCCCTGTGGCCTCCTGGGCCCCACCTCACCTGACTTGTGCCCACATCTCATACCTCCTCTCACCGCCCCTCCTCCTCGCTCACTCTCTGGCCACCACATGAGCTGTCAGCTGGCTGTGTCCTCGTGGTTTCTGCTGTCTGCATCGCTCTTTTCTCCAGAGCACAGCTGCCTGACTCCTTCTCATCATCCACATCTCAGCCCAAATGTCACATCCATACCGAGGCCTTCTCCAGCTCCCATCTGGAGCAGTTTCTCTTCCAGCCCTCTGGATATAGTTTGGCTGTATCTCCACTCAAGTCTCATGTTGAATCGTGTCATGGGAGGGACCTGGTGGGAAGTGAGTGGATCATGGGGGCGGTTTACCCCAGGCTGTTCTCATAATGAATGAGTTCTCACAAGATCTGATGGTTTTATAAGTGTCTGGCGTTTCCCCTGCTTGCACTCACTCTGTCCTGCTGCCTTGTGAAGAAGGTGCCTGCTTCTACTTTGCCTTCCACCATGATTGTAAGTCTCCTGAGGCCTCCCCAGCAATGCAGAACTGTGAGTCAATTAAACCTCTTTCCTTTAATTACCCAGGTTCAGGTATTTCTTCATGGCAGTGTGAGAATGGATTAATATACCTCTCTATCTCATTAACCTGTTTTGTCTTCTTCATAGCAATTATCTTTATCATAGCTGGTATATTTTGCTTTTAATTTTTATTTTTTTTAAATGGAGATAGGGGTCTCACTATATTGCCCAGGCTGGTCTCAAACTCCTGGGCTCCAGTGATCCACCTGCCTCAGCCTCGCAATGTGGTGGGATTATAGGCATGAACCACCATATCCAGCCTTTATAATAGGTTTTATAACAACTTTTTAAAGTTATTATAAAAGTGATGGAAAGCACTGAAGGGAATTCGAGGAACGACCCAGTCAATGTCTTTGCTTCAGCGATCACTGGTGCTGCTGTCTGATCATGAAGTAGTCATGAAGACAAGGGCGGGAGCAGGGATACAGGCCAGGAGGCTGTCCCAGGGGCCCTAGTGAGAGATGTGGCTGCCTGGGCTTAGAGTCCAATGGTAGTGGGGAGATGGACTGGAGTTGATTTAGGACATATTTGGAAATTAGCCCCAACAAAACTTGCAGTTCCATCCAATGTGGGGTCAGGGGAGGGCAGAGGCAGAGACATATAGAATAACTCAAGATTTCGGCTTGAGCAAGCAGCTGACTGAAGCTGCCATTTACAGAGTGACATAGGGGAGACTTACCAAACAGTTTTCAATCAAGAAGCCTGTTTTCAGGCACCCAAGTCTGACAGGCCATTAATCACTCAAGTGGAGATGTCAAGTAGACAGTGGGATAGATGTCTGAAGCTCAGGAGACAGGCCAAGACGGCAGACGCAAATTTAAGAGTCAGCTGCATGTAGATGATATTCAAAGCCAAGGGACTGAATGAGATCAAGGGACTGAAATCACTTAGAAGAGGAGAGATATGGAGAAGAGGCCCAGGACACGGCTCTGGGGCATCCCAACGGTTAGAGACTGAGCCTTGGAGGGGAAGCGAGGCAAAAGGTCTCCAGCCAGCTGATTCTCAAAATAACAATAATCATGAAAGTGAATCAATCAACTGTTGAGGAATTTTCTGCATATGTTTTTCTGGTAAAATTATATGATCATATAATAAAAAAATTGGTCGATTCAGATTTGACTTTCACAGCACAATCATAAGCAGTAAAATTTGGACAAAAATGGCTGAGGTCTTTGCTGATTTTCCCAGGGGTCTCTCTGACTCCTCTGATATTCAAATCATTCTCATTTGAAGCATCATTTCGGTCCTTATCCTCATAGATCTTCTCTCATCTAATGCTGCTGCTTCCTCACATGTCACTGGCTAAGCAAACGATTAGGGCGCTTCCCCAAACTTGCTTTCCTAATCTTTTTAAAATCTTGCTTATTTTGCAAGACTGACAGTTTCACTTTGCCATCAATTTTTATGTAATTTATGTTGCATAGTGCTGTTGTAACCTGATAACTATCGAGAAAATAACGGACAAAGACTGTGACACAATGGGCAGGGGTGGAAGCTTGGTTTTGAAAGGAAGGAATGTGTGGTCAGTTTATGAGTGATTCATTTTGTGTCACGTAGACTTTAGCTGTCTATAGTGGAGACAACTAGTTATCCACCAAATCCATTCTTCCCCTCTTTAAGCAATAAACTCAACAGCATTTCCCTAACTACCATTTGGCTAAGTGTGACTTTGTGACAAAGTGAACAGCAGTGACATGCCACCTTCATGCCTGTCTGACAAAAATCACTCACATGTGCTCCTTTGTGTGTTTTCCTCTTCCTTGACTGGATGCAGACAGATTCACAAGATGGGAAAAACCTAGATCCCTGAGTGGCTGCATGGAAGAGAGTATCCCCACCAACTTGAGCATCAGATTTCTTGTTACCTGTGCTACAAATAACATTCTATCATGTATAGCCATTAAACATTTGGGTCTATTTGTTATGGTGGCTCAGTGTATCCTAAATGACACACTGCTCTACTAAACTTCAGGAATGGGACAATGAATACCCAATAATAAGAAGTCCCTTATATATTTCAGCAAGATAGTTATTATTTCAGCAAGATATTTGTTAACTATTACTTCATGTAGACAAGGCTGAGAAACAAGGATGGTTGCTGACCCAGGTCGGAGAAGTAGTACTGACTGAATAACCAAACCTAAAGGTTAATGAATCACTGTCCAACTATCTACATTCCTTTGGGCTTAATTATCAGTTCTGTCCTTTTCAACATTTGTAGCAGTGACTTGGATGAATATAAAGAATGCTCACTTCCCAAACTTGCAAAATCCACCCTGGATTGGACAATCGTGATTCAATTCTCAAATATCTTGGCATTTCATTTGCATTGTGTTGTTGTATCCTAACAACTATAGAGAAAATAATGAATAAAAACTTTGACCCAGTGGGTAGGGGCAGAAGCTTGGCTTAAAAGGAAAGGGTGGTGCACTAAACCGAATATGGTAAAAATCACTGGAGTTAACTGTGAGGTCCTGAGCTTAGTTAGAAATAAACTAGAACAAGATAGAGAAGACATGGCTTAAAGCAGCACATTTTTTTAAAGTTAGACATTTTAGAATGCATTTCTACAAGTATTGTATCTAGAATAAAAAGGTGACAATCTCATGCTTTTCTGCCTGTGGTAGGGGTGGGGCTTCCTCTTGGCATTTTGTAGTCAAATTCTACACAATACATGAAATGTGCTCAGAGGAGAGAGCTCAGAACTGAGAAGGAACAGGAAGATGGATTTGGAGTGTGTGTGTTTTAATAAGAGATGGGGCCTTTTTTTTTAACATTTGGGTTTATTCCTTTGATGCTGAAGATAATGACCTGTTTTTCCTCATATGTCTGCTCAAGATAGTTACAAATTTAGTAAAGGTGGGTTTTTGCCATGTTAGCTAGGCAGGTCTCGAACTCCTGACCTCAGATGATCTCCCCAAGAGACAGGG